CTTTATCGGTTGTTTAGCTGAAAATTTTGGAGAGAATTATGCCATTAATGCAGAATTCATTAGAGTTATAAGGGCTATAGAACTAGATTATGATAGGAATTAGAGGAATCTTTGGGTTGAAGCTGACTCAAAATTAGTCACTCTCGCTTTTAATAACGCTAACATAGTCCCTTAGTCGCTGAAGAACGGGTGGCTTAACTGTATACATAGACTGCATAGCATGTCTTTTATTTTATTTCATACTTACCGGGAAGGAAACCATTGTGCAGACAAATTAGCTTCATTAGGCTTTACCATTCAACGTTTTGTTTGGTGGAATGAAGCTCATGTGTCTATGACAGGTAATAGACCAAGCTTAGGCTTTGAAGTATGTAGCAGATCAGACTTAAGCTTAGCAAAACATAACTCGGTTCAACCTATTTTGAACCCTACTTAGAGGTGTTCATGGGTAAAGGTTACTCGTGAACCCGTCGACACAAACCAAATCAACCCGTAAATTACCGGAACTTGTTCATTAACGAGTATACTCATCATAACCCGCAATAACCCATATAGTTTTGTTCGAGTATCAAGTTTCAGTTTCTCAACCCGTCGACCCAACTCATTGATGTGACATTAGTGATTTTTTATTTTTTTATTACTATTTTAAATGAAAGTATAAAATTAATATATAACTATAAACCATTCTATCGGTGGAAAGTCCAAGACTAAGGTTTTTTGGCTCATGGCAAAAATCTAGAAAAAACAATCCATTTCCATGCATTACAAAGAATCATCTAGATGGTAAATTTTTCTATAATATTTTCTTTCATACTTTATCTTGTATAATATGAAATCATTATGACATGTATGTATTTTGACATAATCCAAACTCATTGGACACAATATTATCTTTCTCTCATAATTATGATTCAACATCGTGTTATCTTCTAGAAGCATGTCTTTCAACAATTTAAGAAATTCAGTGAAATTTTTATCCATCCATCCATGTTGTTTGAGCTTCCTTACTCATTTGCTTACTTCGTTCGACTTGGAAGATGGAGTTTGGTTGGTTTAGTGGAAAAGATGAAGGATGGTGTTTTTTGAGTTAATGGACGATGGTATTTAGTTCATTCGGTGGAGAAGATGGAGAAGATGGAGAAGGTTGATAAGAGGTTTTTACATCGCTTTCATTGGTTGTTTTACTTCAACATTTTCTTGTTTGTGTCCAATTCACTTTCATTTATCATGCTTTATGATTTGGTAGTTTTTTTTTATGTTTTTAGTCTTTAATAAGTGTCTCGGAAAAAAGAGAAAAGAGAAAAGACATATTTTCTCCCATACATTATCTAGAGGGATATGAGCCTTAGAAGCACATGCCCTAGCCACTTATTCCCATACTTTCACCAAAGGCATGCTACGAGTGACCATAGCAGGAAGGCGAGATTTTCTTTCCTTTTCTGGATCTCCTATTATTGTTTTGGGATTTTTGCATCTTTTGATCTGAGATATTTTCTATTTTTATGGAATTGAATAGAGCGATTTAGTCCACTAATAGAATTTTATTATAAAACTCATAGGTAGTCTTGAGTTTAAGGATCTTCTTCTTTCTTATGTTTTAGCTTTTACTTATTTTATTTTCCAAGTTCTTATGTATCGCTTTACTCAAGTCTCCATTGAAGCACCTAAATCTTTATTATTCAAATTATTTTCTTTTCAGTTAGGTTCTATTTACCTTTATTTGTCAATATCAAATTATTATTTCAGTATTAATCATGTTTTAGATTACGAATATTGCTTTGATTGTGATGTTTCTCACCTTGAATGGTAAGTCCATTAGGGACTAGGGGCCATGAGACTTATCTCATCACTATCCATATGAATCTTTGCAAATTTATTACAAGAGTCGCATTCACGTGTTATTTTAAAACTTGAATTTTCATTTCAGCCCTTATACGAAAGTAAAGAGTTTTCAGATATCGATCATAATCTGAAAGAATATGCATTAGTGCCCGAAAGTAGGTTTATAAGTAATTAAGTCTGATACAACAAAAGTGCTTTGATGAGATCGAGAAATGTTTCATATTTTATAGTTGTGCTAAGAAAAGAATCCTTGATGAATAATTCACACGTGCGAAAGCAAACGAATTATTCATCATAGATAGGACAACACACTGATGAAAGTAGGTGTTGTCCAAATTTATCTATTTTCTATAACAACGTTGAAATTCTAGTAATAAAAGTGAATGGATCATATGAATATGTCATATTAGGGATGATGAACCCTAAGTCTTGTGTGTCTCATAATATTTTAAGTGATTTTTATTTAAGTTGTTTTTCAAAAGTACTTTTTATTTAAGTTGTTTCACAAAACATCAATTTTCATTAACTCTAGATATACACCTATAAAATAGGATTCAATTATCAAACCACTACTACAAAAAAATGATACCTCAACGTTTGAAAAAGTCTTACCACAACAGCTGACCAACTGTTATGAGGTAAGGTGTGATTGTATGTATGATTTTTTTCGTTACAGTTGCGTAATTGTTTGATAAACTATGTAGCGCACTACCTATCACTATGGTTGACTTAAACAATTGTTGTCATAAATATAGTGTCATGTTTTCCATACTCAGCTGCAACCAAAATTAAAGTGCTTAAAAAATTACATTTCATTATGACTATATGTCCAAATCGTTGTAGTATATATACGAGTTTATTATAAAACATGAGATTTCTTGTTTTTCCTTGCCCCTCATTAACCATATACAACATTATTTTGAAGATTTTGTGGCATTAAATCAAATTCTATAGGATAAAGAGAAAATCATGATTTACAAGATACATTCAATTCGAAAAAACATTGGCTCGTCAAAGTTGATTTTCAAGAATAATTTAATTTCTTTGATTATTAACTAAAAAATTTATTTAAATGAATACACGTTCAATGAGGAATTAGTGAAACAAGAAATCACATATGATATAATTGTTAGACGATATGCTACGATCTAGAGGGGGTGAATAGGTCACTAGTGAAATTTTTTGATTTAAAAATTGTTTTAAAAATTGTCAACTATAGCAACTGGAAGCAATTCCAGACGACAATCGTATATCCTAAACCATTATAAAAAAGATTAGATATGCGTTAAACCGTAACAAATGTATTCAATTGATGATAAAATTAATCAATATAATTTCAACAACAACGTTTGAATATAAACCACACAATGATAATTGATTTCCAATGAAATATTAAACAAAAACTTGACTTAAGCAATTTATCAAACACTTGGTATGCAATCAATTCTAATCAGATTTTTCTTTGATTTTGTTGATATAAAAAACCAATTGCACTCTTATAAATTGCAATCACTCAATAAAGCAGTTTGAAATATTAGAGAAAATAAATTATCTCAATGTATCAATTGCACAATCAGTGGATTAATAATTTGCTATGAAAATGAGGGAAAAAAAGATAGAGAGAGAGACAATTATTTGTTTAGGCAGCTCCCCAATCGAGCTCACTATGGATACATCTATCCCTAATTCCACATGAATCGAGATAATGAAAATTAGCCTTTACAAATATTTTTTACAAGAGAAAAAGTAGCAATCCAATTCTTTAAACCCTATGTTTGATGTTGATCCTAGTTTCTTTTCTTTCTTTGATCTTGAGCTCGATCAAGTAACTCAATGCTTCAAATTTGATCCTCTAGTTACCGCTACTCATTTGATAGAATCCATTTCCTTCAAAGTCTTCGCTCTGTTGAATCCTAATTGCAAACTATTGTGACCCAAGATTGCCAAAATAATCCTCTGGTTAGCGTTACTCCTTTGACAGAAACGTATTTCTTCAAAGATTTCTCTCAGTTTAATCCAGTTTACGAAATCTTGTGAAAAACTCACAAATAAATTATTAATATTGGAAGAAAACCCCACATGGATTTATCTTGAAACTCCCAAAGAATTTCCAACCCAAGTGATTACCACCAATCATAAGTGGACCTTATCAAACTATATCTTGATCACACATAAAAAATGATCATGTGTAGTTATTGTATGTATGCAATGAGAGAGGATGGGGATGATGAAAAAAACTTTGAATATTTTTTGTTTAAAATCTTTGATTATGCGTGTGTGTGTGTGTGTGTTAGAATAAAGTAACGGAAAAATCAGATTTGCAAAATTATAGTTTTAGACATTTTAAAACAGGATGAGTCGACCCATTTGTGTAGGGAGTCGACCCATAGGTGCTGAGGAGTCAACCCATACAGCCTGAGATTCAACTTCAAGTGGACATGGAAGAAATAAAGAAAAACATCTTCAGGAGGAGTCGACCCACAACTCAAGAGAGTCGACCCATTCCTGTTGTGTGTTGACTCCAACGACTCTAGGAGTCAAACCATCAAAGGCAGAGATTTTTGTTTCAATATGCATTCAGTGGGAGTCAAATCATAGCTCAAGGGAGTCAACTCTTTCGTGTTATGTATCGACTCATAACTCCATATTTATCGATCAATCCTTGACATAAAATTTTTGTTTTCATTTTCTTCAAAGGAAGTCAACTCCTAACACCGATGAGTCGACTCCAAGCATGATTTTTCATTAAAATTCATATTTTTGACACTTTTGACTTGTCCAAATGCTTTTGGCGTGATCTATAAATGCTCTTAGATGAAAATTCAATATTACATTGCATCATCTTCTTGTAAGTTGACGTGAATTTATATATATAAAAGAAAGAAAAAGTCACAAGTTAAAAACTACAAACGCAAAAACCATTTCAAATAAAAAAAAAAAAAAATGTCAAAAGCTAATAAAAAGACTAAAAGCTAAAACTAAAATCAATTATAAAAGAGAGTTTTTTTATCTATGTGATCTCAAAAAATAAAAGCTAAAAGTTGTTTTAATGATCTTACCAAAGAGACTCTAACTATATATAACCCCAATTGTTGGTCAATATATTGCCATAAAAAAATCAAGCAAAAGTTCCTACATTGATCAATATCCTCAGAAAAATGAAATCTATGGCATCATTGTTCATAATTTTTTTACCTCTGGTACTTCATGTTGTTGTTCCAGTACTATCTGTGAACTTGTATGAAATAGTATGCAACGAGGCTGGCCAAGATGCAGATAGATGCGTGAGTACTTTGAAAGCTGACAAAAGAGTGGTTGCAGCCAAAAACTATCGTGATCTCTCAAACTCTATCTTGGAGATGGCATTCGATATGGCAACATCAATTCAATCTTATTTTGACAAAGAGACTATTCGTTTCCCCAAAGATAATGTTATTAGACGATGTTCAGTTAAATACATAGATGTTATGGAAGATTTCAAAAGTGCAATATATAAATTGGGTTACAATACTAAAGGTGCAATTGATGATATACATGCTGCTGGTAGTGAAGCTATGAATTGTGAGAGAGCTCTTAGCACTCAAAAGCCATACAATCCCTCAATGCATGCTCTGAACAGTCAAATCTATTTACTTACTGAAATATCTGTTTTAGCTATAAATCATGTTGCACTTAAGGAAGGTTTGTCAAATCAGCCATAAGTGATTTTTAAAATTATAATTTATGATATCTTATGTAAGCAAATAAAATTGATTGATATCATGTTTCTTTATATATGTTGATATAATCTACAAAATATTTAGACATTTAGGTTTTTTTTTTTAGGCATGATGTTTTTCTCAATTATGTAGATTTGGATGTTCTCCTTCATTTTTTTTTTTCACAATTTCTCTCCTTATTTTTATATCTCTAAAGAAAAAATAATTTTATAATAAAGAGAATATGAGATTAAGAGAGATAGAGATAATTTTATAATAAAGAGAGTATGAGATTAAGAGAGATAGATAAAAGAGAAAAATAAAAAGAAAAAGAAGAGGAGAGAATTCAAAGTGCAATTATGTCAGTTTAAGTATTAATTATTTTATTTTTATTATCTGTTATATTTTAGGAAAATATTAACGAGTGTTCGGGAGATATTGGTTAAGAGATTAAAAAGATAATAGTTAGGTATTATTTAAGAGATTAAAAAAATATTTTTTTTTAAAAATATGTGTATTTAATATTAAAAATAAAAATAATTAATTTTTCTTAAAAATATTATATAAAAATAATTAAATTTTATGAAATCAAAAAAATAATAAAAAGAGTCCCTTTAGGCAACGCTTTTACAGTAAAAGCGCTGTTTAAAGAGGGCTTTAGACAATGTTTTTTAAAGCGCTGTCTAATGTCTACGAAATTTTTTATATAACTTTTTTGAAAAAAAAAGCGCTGTTTGATATATACAATTTTATATGCACAAATTTTAACCATATTTGCATCAGGTTTTCACTATATTTTGCACTTGTATATACCATTACAAATTTCACCAGATTTTCACTAATATTGGAGCTTCAATCCAATAAAAAATAATACTAAAAGATACTATACATTTGCACCAATGTACTTATATATACTATTACTCTTGTACATATATACTTTTACAAAAAAACAACACCATTATATACCATTAGAAAATCTATTCATCTCTATCTTCTACATATGCACATATAACCTGAAACAACACCAAAATATCGTAATTCATACAATGATACAAACAAAATATATATAATTTACCACATGACAAACAACAAAAAAATTGCAACACTTGAATATACTCAAAATTCTCATCAATTAAAATAAGATTACAATATACCTTATATAACTTTCGTCTCAATAATGTATTGACACCAATCCTCCTTAAGTTCATCCAACTAAGAACTTGAGTAATAAGCACACTTGAATTCGTCAAAGTACTACATAATAATATAACATAGTATGTTTAAGTTAAAACTATTTAATTATATGAGAAATATGTGTTAAATATTAAAATAACTCATAAGTTAGAAATCCATACCTTAGATGAAATCTATATTCGATCCAAAAGAAGGATTTCTCTCATAAACCTCAACATGTAAAAACTGTAATCTACTTCATTACGCTGTCGAGGACACTACACATGAAAAGAAAATATGGATAAGACCTAAGTTTTATCAAGTATCATCACTATTAATATAATCAAAATTATGATAATTAATTAATATACCTCCACTATGATCCATGTAATGTTGTTGGCTTTACTCTTTGGTACTTGAATACCTCTTTGTGCTCGAAAAACTTGTATAATGCTAATAAAATATAAACGCATATTTAGAACAATTCACATAAATAAATAAATAAATATACACATAAATATTTAGAACAATCTCACTTACGTATCAACTATATTCTTCATATCTTGGTATGTACTTGGATCATTGCGTAAAGAATCCAGATAGTATACAACTTCTTTGATAGGATTAATCGCGACCAACAACCAATGTCCACTGTAAGATTAAACAAATGTGAGATGAAAACTTTCTACACAACATCGAAATATGAAAAATTATAATAGATGAATTTAGAATGAAAATCTAACCCGTTGCCGGTATTAGGCGGTAAAAAGAACAACTTTTCAGTATCTTTATCGGCCATAAAACGCTCGAGTATATACGCCATGACTTCATCTGATTTATGCATGATTAACCCTAAGTTGGTATTGTAAGGATATAAGAAAGTGAGTCTTGGCTCCAATCCACTCGGGTGCATCAATTTTTTATACAAAAACTTTAAATAAAAGACTTCATTAAAATTTGAAATGAATAAATGAATTGATCAATTAATTAGACAAAGTAGATCGGATATACCTTATGTATGTATTAACAACACCAAGGCCTAATTGCGTATTTCGTAAAACTTGATCAAAATCCTCCATACCAATTGTTTCAGAATATTCAAAACCAAAAATACCAAACTCCATAGGTAGAAGATTTCGGTGCCCAAAATTCAGTTTTGGTATTACGTTGATACTGTCTGTTATGACCAAGAGCTGATTCTACATGAAAAGTGGTGGGAATTTCGAGTTCTTGGAAAAAAATTGAGTAGAATCTGGAATTTGTCGATTTGATTTCCAATATTCAAAAATTCATAACTCGCTTGATTTTTACCGTATCATGCCGGTTTTCAAAGCGTTGGCTCAAGAATTTCGTCTACTTCAACTTCGATTCAGATCTTAAAATCAAACGGTAGCCCGAGGATCTCTATTATTGGTTTATTCTACAAAAATAGGGTTTTCGAACTGGTAAAAAAGACTGGACGCCGCTCCATTGGAAAATTCATAATAAATTCATTGTTTATCAGATGGTTCTCATTTTTTGCCATGATGACAGGTATGCAGAGATTTATTTTTCTTCTGGAAAAGTCGAGATGAGATTCTAATTTTTCGGGCACGAGCTCGTGGTTTGTTCGAGTGACGAAGATCAAATAAGGTGATATTTTGACTTAATTAATTTTTGACATGACGTCTTGCCACTTAAACGTATTGAACTCACTCAATTTTTATCAGAAAGCATCCGTTCTTTTTGGCTGACGTCCGTGACTCAGGCGTATATTTTCACAGGAGGTCTGCATTCGGAAAGATTCGTGGATCACAGTGTAATTTTCACTTAAGCGGCGAATAAGCTGAAAATTTGATTTTTTAAACAACACTATATATTATTTTGCCACCAAATTTCAAAAGGGGGTCTCATTATTTTCTAATTTCATTTTCCTTTCTATTCTCTCTTCTCTCACTCAAGAACTCAATAACCCCCTCTCTTGCATAACCATCATCTTCGCCGGTCTTCCCTCACCGGCCACCGCCGTGTTGTTTCCCCCTCCGCCCGGTTTCTCCCCTCTGGCGACTACTCACGCTCTGGCCGCATCTCTTCATCCTTCTCCGATCGTGGTACAATCTCCCTTTGTTCGCGCTTCTTCTACGCGCTTCTCTCCTCCGGTCGCGCCTCCTCCATCGCGCCCTTCCTCTTTTCTGGCGCGACATCCTCTTCTCCGGACAACATCATCATTTCTTTCTTCTTCATCTTCTTCAAGTATTCAAGAGGTAACATCACATCAAACTCCATTATCTTTTGAGCTTTTATGCTTTGATTTTTGTGGAGTTGAGCAATTGGATTGTGAATTAACTGATCTAATAGGTATTAACATAGTTTATATAATTTTAGAATTAGATTATAGATTTAGGTTGAAATTGATTTAGGAATTGATTAGGTTCTTGAATCAATTTTGTGAGATGGAAACTTAGTATAATTTATGCACATTAGGTGTTTGCCTTAACTCCTCATAAAAACCTAGAATTGATTTAGGATTAGGATAACACTTAGATTTTAGTGTAATTCTTATTTCTTGAACTAGGTTGTTAATTGAATCTAGAATTTGATTGTATCCTTAATTTAGGGAGAATTCGATGTAAGGTTTAGTTAAAACTAACATTTATGTTAGGTACTAATTTCTTTGATTTAGGTGTTGTAACATAAACTAACAATTAGTTTAGTTTAGATCTAATATTTGATTTTTAAGCTTTACTACATGTTTCCGTTATTTGGTTGATGATCATTGATTTTTTGTGCATTTGAAATGCATTTTTACATATGATCTCAAGTTACCGATTCTTGACATAAACTAATCTTTTTACAAATTTTTGGATGTTTACTTGTTGCTTTCCATTTCAATGAATTGAGGTAACTTCCAATGGACTCAAATGCCATTGCAAAACATTTTTGAAGTAAGTTTGATTGAGTTTGATAGAAAATACCTCAATACTTGGTAAATGGCAAAGTTTGACATAATTGGTGTTTTTGCTCTAACTTTTGATCTTTATTGAGTTTTTCCAACTTTCTTTAATGAAAACAAAGTTTCTTGAGCCACCCAGAATCACTCACGCGAGTACCTTTTCGATTCTGACAAATTTCATTCCGTTTTTTCTGCTACTGTAGAAGTTTTGAAAATCATGTTTCGGAACGGAATTTGGCCAAACCGAGTTAATTTCTGGAACCGTTGGCACGTTTTTGTTTCGCCTTAATTTTTGCGGTTGATTTCGGATACTTTTCGATTAATTTTCTAGCTCTCTGATACAAGTTTTTGCACATTATCTTGTGTTTCATTTTTGAATTGTGATACTTTTTTTATGTTAACACTTCCTTTGATGTTAAGTAATATCATTTGGTTTAATTAATTGCTTGAGAAGCTTTGTGAATTTAGCGTATCAGAATACCTTTTGGTTCATAACTTTTGAATTTGATAAATTGCGAATCGATTCCTATTCATCACACTTTTGGCATAAATACATAAACTCATGAATTGGAGTTGATTTGCAGTTTGTTGGTTAAATTCCGATACATTAAATTCATGTGGTTTTAAGACTTTAATTTTTGACTTAAGATCAATCTTAAGGTTACATGTTCATATGCAAGTTTCAGATGACTTTCTCATGTTAAAATTCAAGATTAGCAGACTAAATCTTTGAGTTTCAAATCGATTCATGTTGAATTTCAAAAATGCATATAATGCTGTCCATGACTTATATTTCGGATGTGCATTGAGTTTTGGCTCGTGAATAATGTATTGTTGTACTTATTTAAACATTTCTTCGATATCGGTAGCAAGTGTGAATATTTCTAAGCCGGGTTTT